ATGGCTTTAATTTGTTTTGAGCATACAATATAATGGTAGTTGTCTAAGAAAGTCCACATTTAAAAATTTTGAAAGTGCTTTAAAAACAGTTTAAAGCTTGCGCCAAGTTCCAATTGGAACGTAATAGTTAAAAGAAGATAAAAAATATAATTGCTATAAAGTTAAATTCAAAATCAGCCAAAAGTTTGATATTATTTGACTTTCAATATTGCCAGGTCTTAATTTACTCTATTTCCCTATTCCTACGAATCAGAATCTATCTGAACGCTGACATTATAACCGCTAATATAAGCTTAGTAAATGTTAGTAGTAGTCAGGGATGCAGCCCCCACACCTGGGCCCTACTTCTATCCACCCATCAACTCATGGACCAAGGACCAACGGTTTTACTTCCCTTCCGAAGGAAGGCGTGATCAGAGATGAACCGGGGACTAACGGATAAATTTCAATGATAATGCAAAGACTACAAATGAGAGTCAAATGAAAACTAAAGGACAATGCTAAGGGTCACGGTGTTTCTGAAAGAGAACCTCAATATAAAAAAAAATCAGTATCGTTCATACACAACATACATACATCGAACAATTTTAAATCACGCCCAAACATTATTTTTTAAACCAATTTAAGCCCGTCAAATATATTAACAAATGACCCCCATAAATTATGTTAAAACTGTTTCAGCGATAAAGCACACCGGGACAAGTTGAAACACGTGGGGAAGTTTAAATGGTTGGTGTATCTGTTAGCGGAAGTGAATAATCACTGAGATCAAGCAATTTGCGGTTGTACACAATGTCTCTCAAAAATAATTACATTGAATATGCACTTCCTTTAAGAGATACACATACCGTTTCAACTTGCCCCGGTGTACCTTACTGATTTTTTTTTTATAATTATACTGTCTTTCCAGAGATACCGTGCGGGAAAAATGTTCGAAATGTTGTTAAAGCTACCATTTTATGATAAATTCTCCCCCATCTTTAGGAACCTTGTACCCACAAAATACTACTACCATCTGTTGCGTGAACATTCACACTAATCCAGTATTTAGTTTTTCGGTATTTTTTTTTCAACCGGGCTTAGGCGTAAATTAAAATTTTAACTGAACATTCAGTTCAAATAAGTGGAATTACTGACATTTAGTAAATCCATACCAAACTTCGGTAGCGTTTATTGTAAAATACTGAACACAGAGTTTATAATTACTGAGAAAGTCAGAAATTTCTAAATTTTCTGTATTGTACGAAAAGTCAGTAATAATTACTGTACACATAGTAATTATAGATGTTTACTGAACATTCGTCAAACTGGTATATTATTTTACTGACCAATAATTGTTAAATTCTAAGCTGTCATTTTTATGCAACCGTCATTTTAGCTTTAGTGAAAATCCAGAAGCAAGTGTTTTTCCACGGCAGCGGGGTCACACCGACTAGACCGGAGGCATTTTGGAGGTATCTGATATTCAAATCAAAGGTATTCTTTCTATTACACTGATAAAATACCATTGACAGTGACTCCGAGCCCCAAACCTAACAAAAATGCCACCGACTCCGACCCGACTCCACAACCCTGTTTTTTTTTTCGTGTAAGTAAAAAATTGAGAAAAATGTGTTTTGTAATTACGGATTTGAGTAACCTCGACGGAGAAATTGAAAACGTGCTAAAAAATTTAATATTTCTTTTTCAATATTGCGATCTAATCCCAACAGTAAACATTAAAACCTTAGCCCTTTGCGTGGGAAATTATACGAAGACAACACTGATGGTGTTTATTTCCTAGATGAATATCACTATTCATAATTGACTGTAGAAAAATATAATTCGTTAAACGTGTTTTATTCTGCGCAATTAATGATGATTTAAATGAGTATTTCTCTCCTAACACAAACAAAAATATTGTTTTTAACTGGCTTACACGGTACTCTCCAAGAAAAAAAAATCCCTAGTCAGCCAAATGCCAACAAAATAACGCTCACATTAACTATGCTAATCAGTTAATATAGTCAAATACATCTCGAATGGATACTGAACTTACAGTCGTTTTTGACAGTTTGACTTAAGTTACCGAACTGTTAACGAAAATTATTGCTGTGGCGGTTACTGGGTGATCCGCAATTCAAAAACCCAGTAAATTTTAACTAATTTCGGTAATCTAGACTAATTGTGTAGAGACCCTCATATGACTAGTTTATTTAATTTTATTTATTTCTTCAATTTTAAATGGATGTACAACATTTTCGTCTTTACCCAGCAAAACTGCTACTCACCTCAAGATAGAATAATTTTTGAAAATTGTTTGCGGATGGAATTCTTAATGCCTCTAAAGTGTTTGGCATATTCCTCAAGCCGGAGTTTTAAATAAAACATCGATACACAATTTTAGCATGATATTGCGATAATTGATACCTGCATCCTGCTCCAAAATATATCCTGAAAGTAGCAAAAAAAAAACATGTTGATAAATGCTGCAGATGCTATTTTCAAACCGTTTGATTAATTTCCCAACGTTGAAATTTGTGTGGTGATTAATGGGTATTTTCAGTTCAGTTCCAGATATATTGCATATCAGAAGAACATAGAAAAATGTGAAAGGAAACTCTTTTTATTCATACGGTCCATGACAAGCCTTCATAGCACGACTATTCTAAAGGCTGATTATATTCAATAGCAAAATAAAATAGAAAACAGCAAAGTATTTTTATTGCCATTTGATTGTATAAGAAAATGAACCTCCATGATGGCTCCATCAATCGGTTTCAATTCGTTTGGATTTATTTAATTTCACCATGAAAGTCATAAATTCGCTCTTTTCATATAGCATTATTGCCTGTTGTTTGTCATCGACACATGGTGAAACAAAAAGTTGGTTTATTATAGATAAATACCATTGCAGCGTTGAAGGACACTCCCTTTGTTTACGTTGTGTGGCTACCTGGAGGGGACGTGCTGTCAAATCAGCCTACTGATCATTCTTGTATGAAATTCGTTCCAAACGTAGGCAAACCATGTAGGTATCTTATGGCTTGTTTACGTTTGGAACCACTTATTCGAGGTAAGTGACGATTGTTCGTATTTGACCCCTGGTGGCTACAACTACTAGGGGAAATGACGGCTTCGGCATGACAGACTATTTTCGGCAACCCAAATTGAAACACTATTTTCACTGGATTTTCTTACGAAAACATTTCGCTGAATGTATGCAAACGATTCTTTATGCTTTCAGCTTCAATTTGACTATACTTTTACCACTGAGAAAAAGCAATCTAGCAAGGTTTTCTTGAAATGCAACACACGCACTTCAAATTGTAGCTGATTTCGAGTTGCCGATAATAGAACAGCAGATTTACATGCAGTTCAAATGGAACGGTTGCCGAAGAAAAACCGGTTGCCGACAATACTCGCTCTCACTAGAGAAGATTGGAGCTTTGTAAAAGCGTTTCAAAACAGTTTTTGACAATTCTTTCGACTGAAATTGTTAGAGCAGCTGGCAGCAAAAGATTGTAAACAAACCAATACTGCATATGTGTGCGTTCCATAGAGAAAAAGGCTATAGAAAGAAGGTCGCTGCTTAGGTTGCCGAGAATACGTAAATTCCCCTATTTCAAGGGCAAATTTTCATTATGTCGAAAGTAACATTCGCTCTGATCCGAGAAAAATAAAGTTTTGTTTTGAGGACCCAAAAGTTATTCCTAATTCCAATTAAACACATATAATCTCATATCGATAGCAATATTTAACGTATTAAGCAGGGTTTTAATCATACAAAGCAAAATGCTAGCTTACATTTTAAAAAATGAAATCATCTTAGCAATACACTGTTCGATTTATTCACTTTAATAATGATAAAGCGAAACGACGAATGTACACGTTTCATAGGTTTCTCTGCACTGTTACTTAAGACAAACGGCATCTCCATAGAAATCGGGTGACTTAAGTATCATCCAAAAATATTTTGATCGGAACGTGATTACCTCAAAAAGCAATTTGACTGGTAAATAAATTTAAAAATAGGATGTGAACCTATATTTGAACAATAGGGGAAATGCTTTTAATGTTGGCCTATGGATCTAAGATTGGGCCCATCGCTAAAAACCTGCTATTTATCAATTTTATCTAGATGAACGCGTTATTGGAACGGTACTAATGGATATTTTTGGTCACTATTGAAAATTTAGTCGATTGCTGAATTTATGCATGGGCCCAAATTAGGGGCATTTAGGCCGACATTACATCAATTTCCCCTATATAGTGTAATAGCAGGAGCATCGATTGACATTGATAGCTCGACTTTGTTTACCTTTGTTACTTTCGACGTAATGAAAATTAGCTCTTGAATGGATCAATGAAAATGCTGAGGTTTTGACAGAACTATGCTGTGGCTACCACAGTATTTTACATATGATCGTTCATATACAGTAGCACCAAAAGCATGCCGTAGTGGGTTCTAAACTGGAGCATCTAAAGTGATCCATTTGCAAGTGGATACGTGAAACTAAGGTTATCTGTCACCTTGACGGGGACTTGTTAAACCCATGGTGGGTACATTGTGATTCAGCTTTTTCACTATATGGTCGATAAGATTGCGGGAGGGGGGGGGGGGTGGGGTGTTTGTTGAAGATGCGGATGCGGTTTTATAGCAAATTTTAAACAAACTCGGTCGCTGTCCCATACAAAAATTCAACATGGCTGAATCATGAATTTGACACATTAGAACACCTACATCTAGTCACCTTGGTTTAACCTATAGGAGGTTTTGTAAATAGAATGGATCATTTTAGATAGCTGAGTTTTGAACCCACCACAGCTTTCATTTGGCGCTACTGTATACGGACGAACCAATGTAAAATACTGTGGTAGCCACAGTACGGTGCTGTCAAAACCTCAGCATCTTCAATGATCCATTGACTGAAATTAATCAGATATCCGTCAGCATTATATATAAGTCATCATTTAAAAATATGCCCGCCAGTTGTTTTAGCAATTTTGCTACTTTATTGACTTTCTAACAGTCGATGCTATTTTAGACATTTTCAAATCCATCCAGTCGTCTTTTCGGTGGTAAATTTTACAAGTTATGCTCAAGTTACAGGTGCCCATTCGCAAACATTGGAAGATTATTCCCGCTGTTGTTTTCCATAGAAGAATCATCATTCTGTATATTCTTGATCAGTGCTCTAGCCTCACACAACGTAAGGTGTTGAATGTTTTTCTGAAACAATTTATTTGAATGAGATTAATTTTAGAAAAATATCCCACGAACGGCAATGCGCTGAAGTTTCCTAAACTTACCGTCACGGCAGCACATAAGTTCGTCATCGAGCGCCAGATGACAGCACATTCGCTTGTCGGTTGGACCGCTTCCGCCAGTGACCGCTTGCCTGCATTCCAATCGCGCGAGAAGGTGACTTGTGCGTACGAAAGCGACGATGTCAGCACCACACAAAGCACGATGACGCAGATAAGCTTTTCCAGCAGTTGGCTTCTGCAATAATATGTGGAAATTATGGAAAAAGTTGTATATATTGGCGACATGTTCGTTTAAGGGAGGTGAAGTTTTCAAATGATGAACTAGCCTACGGCTAAAAATCACGGTAATTAAGAAAAAAAAAATGCTTCTCAGTGTTCGTGAGGTAGTGGATCAGATTAGGCTTCAAAAGTAATATGGTAGAGCACAGTTGGATAAATTTCTGACATCATTCGGAAAATAATCTAAATTCCTATGATTCACACTCATCACATATTTCAGCATTTTATTCAAATCTTTAGCATTCCACGTCAGGATTTGTAAAGATGGAACATACTGTGAATTCATGTTATTGTAATCTGAACAGAATTAAGTCATTTACTGGATTTAGATCTAATTTCCGTTCTATTAAGCTTTACCTCTATTATTCGACGGATTTGAGCAACAAACTAGAATGATTCTAAATTTGCTTATTTTCCCATACACAGCAAAACCAAAAATTACAATCTCATCAAAGAGGAGGCACTTCAAACCACATGAAAAATAAGGTATTGGCATTCGGAAGGAAAGGGGAAAAATCTATAAAAACCCTCTTGTAAGGAAACATTTCCAAAGGTTTGATAGCCATCATAATGAAGTAATTAAATTGGGTTGTTAGTGGAATGCTTAAATAAAACAGCAAAAAAAAAATGTTATCTTCAATTTAATTCCACTTAAATATTTTTGGTATCAATGTCATTAGTGGGAATGACATTGATGAAGACTGCACATTGTAGTCGAAATACGTATCTGTCACAGCGGCGCCGGTGGTGTTGTGGTAAGCGTGATTACCTCTCACCCCAGCAGGCCTGGGTTCAATCACAGTCGGCGCCGCCGGGTACTGAGTACCAATTCTACCAACTCCAGGGATGCAGCTCCCACACCTGGACCCTACCTATCGGCCCATCAACACATGGACCAACGGCTTTACTTCCCGGAAGGTGTGATCAGAGATGTTATGAGACTGCCATATCTGGAGATGAAAATTATTGAATCTCGAAGAAACTGCTCATATTTCATAGAAGGAAAAATCGGCTACTTCAAATTTTAAACTTTTAACGTCTTCAGATGAAAATTTTGATTGGTTTGTTATTTTTCTTAGTCAATATTTGACTAATCTTATTGTTGAACCTTCATTTTCTGCTCAAGTTTCTTTGGTCGAAAAAACTAAGAGAAATCTATAAGAAAAATCATAGACCAAAATTCGTTAGCTAAAATTGTTCTCGAACAAATTGGCATATCTTATTTCTGTAAACAATTTCTACTTTCATGATCGGTAAATTTATCTAAATCCAGGAAATATTTGCAGGTCAGATCAATTTTTTTTTTAAATTTGTTATGCCGCAGACACAGTTCAGAGTGTAGAACATTGTTTTAATGAATTGTCTATGTTAAACTGTGACTATTCTAATTTCGGCCGAATAACATTTGATCTAATGACTTTCTGTCAAATGACCCATTTGACCTAATGGTATTCGGCCTAATGACTTTCAGTATAATATAAGTCGACCTAATAGAATTCGGCCAAATGACATTCGATCTAATGGCCCTATACCAGCGGTTCGCAAACATTTTGTCAATTGCTATCCACTTTGTGAAATGCCATGAGCTCGTGACCCACCAATATTGAATTCAGATTTTGTGAGGCATAAATGACTTAAAAACTCCAAACAAACACAAAAATCCTACAAATTGTCTGAAACACTAAAACAGAATGGCATTGAAAGCATTGAACAAGATTAAAACAAGTTAACATAGCTTAAACCGACTGCCTTGGGTTAACATGCAAAATTATTCTAAAAATGGACATAATTTTGCGAAAATAATGTGGAAACATTGAACAAGTCATTGAAAAAAAACCGACAGAGTAATAATAAATCTAATTAGAAAATCACCCCAAAACGATGAAATAATTAAAAATAAACACTGATTGCGGGTAAAATATCATCGCCAAAAAGTTCTTGAAACGCAAAAATGGCTTTTAGTCGCTACAAAGACCTAAAAACAACGAAATAACATTTAAAACTATCCTGAAAAGCTATTGAATAAATCTTGAAAACCCTGAAATCACCAATAAATTGACAAAATCCAACCACATAATCGCTAGAGTAGTCTATAATTACGATTGGTAAATATTTGTAAAACACCCATAGATTGAGAAACGCTGCCCTATATGGTTTTTACACGCATCTATTTTATTTTTTGTACCACTGATCTAAATACAGAGTTCCTTTTAATATCTAAACTTATACCATATAATGCGTGGATGTTGTAAATTTCAAGATTAGATTTATTAACAAAATTGATGCAGTGTATAAAAAAAAAGTTTTTGATGATTCAATTTTATAGACGTAATAATGTTTTGCTATTTTCATCGATCATAGTTCAATATTACATCTTTTTTGAGGATTGCTTACTGAATTCCGTGAACAGTGCTGAATCTCCATGGGTTTCCGAAGTGATTATCAGTGAGTTGGAAAAATTATCGCACTTTCGAAAGTAGCTATTAGACGCAGTGATTTAAAACAATTTAAAATAGGGATCTTATAAACTGTAACAAACCAAAAAGAAATAGATGAAACAATACTGCCAAACTAAAGTATGGGTAACATTTGGATCACATTATTTTCTAAAGCAATCAAGTCGGAATGTAATGACGGGAAAAGGGTAGTTAACCCTAGCAGAAACATAAACTCATTACGGTTTGTTATAATTCAAATGTATACATCAGATGTAACACAAATATTTCCCTCTATAATATAATCCAAATTTTAACGTGAAGCTCGTTCCATTTTAAATTAGTTTTGTAAGTTGTGATATTGCTTATATAGTAATTGTTTTATTAAGCTTATAATTAAGCCCATAGAAAATATATAATTCAATTGAAATTTCTGTTTAGGTTGCTGTAGACAAGAATAATATGAAAGAGAAGGTCGATATTTCACATAATGTGAATGCTGCTCATTTGTTTTTAAAGCAGCATGTTGGGTGGACTGTACATAGTCAAGTAATTGACTTAATAACCCCAATGAATCTATAAGATTCCAACTACGCGACTAATACTGCGTTAATCAAGCCACATTATGAATAAATAATCAACTCAACATATTTATATGAAAATTCCGAACAAAAATGTCATAGGGTAAATGACGGCTTCGGCAAAACCTTATCTATTATCGTCAGGGGGTAAACAACGTCTTTGAGGGCTCAATTTTGGCATGTGGATACGTTGTGTTTTAGAGCATCTATTGGCCAAATTTGGGTACTCTGGGACTTTGACCCCCTGACGATAATAGGTTAAGGTATTGCCGAAGCCGACATTTCCCCTATATGACATATAATGTTTCCAGAAAGTCTAGTTAAGTTGTTAAGTTGCGTTTCTCAATCTATGGGCTGTACTCAGGTGGGTCGCATAAATCCAGAAAACTTGGTCATATGTTTTTTTTTAAATAGCAGCTATGAAACGCAATATTAAAACGATTAAAGGCTCCATAATCCTTGGAAATTCGCTCCTTTTCTCCTTAGCTACTCAGATTCATTGTTCAGCATGTGATTTTTTTTTAGTCAGAAGAGCGAAAAGACGGACAAGTGTCTAGAATGACCTTCCAAAAAAGCTTTTTTTTTAATCATCTTAAGAATTTTCTTCTGGTTTCACTTCGTTTAGAATCTTTTCAGGAAACTTCTTTTAGAAGCTTTTTCTATAGAATCATCTATTAGAATAAATAATAACGGCCAGGACAGTAAATTTGAGTAGCTACGTAGTAAAGGAACCTATATGAAGCATTTCATCATTTTAATGTTACTAAAACCATTTTCATGCGAAATTTATCTGATTATGACTCAAATTGCACTACCATAACAGTCTATTGATTTTTTTGTCAAGGAATGAAGTTTAACACAGGTGACGTTTAATCGCAGCCTTATTTCTCATTATCGTTTCGAAATTCCAAGAGCACGAATATCAGCTCTTACAAACATGTAGTAGCTTTTGTGCTGTAGAATATTTCACTACTGAACTATCACGGTAATGACGGCTATTTGTGGCCTCTCTGCACTTTGTCCTTAACTTAACTTTAACTTCTCGACTATAGCTTATTAAGCTCACATTTCAGTAGATTTTTTTATAGTCCCAATAAAAACTGGACATTGACTAGCTTTTGTTTATCACTAAATTAAAATTAATAACCGAACTTAAAAGCCTTCTAATCACCTTTGAGAGAACATTTTCTGATAGATTTCTTTCACGTCACTTGAACCGGAAAACAGGAGAAAACTGATATCACAATAGCTCTCAAATGTTTCTGATGGATATCTGCAATGAAACTGATGCTGTCCTGTGTCCAAGCACTCCTTTTTATATCTAATTCAACAAATCATTTCAATACCACTGTATGTATTGTTCCTGTTCCAATTGTTGCATTGTCCTTCTATTTTTTTTTGTCATTGACGTTGTCATGGGAGACAACCATATTTCATTATGATAAAATATGTAAATATGTGCTGACAGACGCTAGCATGGGAGCGGGAAAATCCTTCGTGGGAAACTGAACCGATGATGTTTGGTGTTGGACATCGATATAGGACGTAATCGATATAGACAGCTTTGAACTTCAAAGTGGCAGGATCTTCCATTCGGAATGTTTGTTCAATTTTCTTACGGCTCAGATATAATCCGATTGACGCGTTTCATTTTCAAGGGTGGCTATCGACATATAACCAGGTGATAATATGTAAGTTTATAGTAGCGTTGTTTAGGACTGCATTTCCGAGGATTAAGGTATAGGACTACTGCTGTATTTTGAGTAGGTGTAACTATCACAGTAAAAATAGCAATATTCATCATCGAAATGCGTTGCGATTGACGTCAATATTCCGATTTACCGCACACAAAATCCCACTAAAATAACAAAATAATGCGCCATGATATTTTTTTTTAAAGCTTTATTAAAGAGATTTTTAGCCTTAGGCTAATTCATCTCTAAGCGCCATGATAGTTGTATTGCACCTTCACAGCATAAAAGAAAAACCTCGAATTGTATACATTAAACTAACGTAATTTCTGTAGTCTGGCTTGGATTTACGAAGGGGTGGGGCAAGGACGCCATGACCCTGTCAAATATAATCTTATCTAATCTAACACCAGCACAACCAGTTAATAAAAGCATCCTGTGCCTCCATAATTTTTTATTGTCTATATGGTATATGTTGCACATCAGAGATTCACAAAATATATCTAAACTACCAGGCCTACTGTGCAGCACTTAAGGGGTAAGAGGATTCTCGAAAATCTGGCGGTAGTGGTAAGCGTGATTTCCTCTCACCCTCAAGGGTCTGGGTTCAATGCCAGTTGGCACCGCCAGGATTTTCTGAGGCATACAATCTCTGGTCACGCCTTCCTTCGGAGGGCAGGGAAGTAAAGCCGTTGGTCCCCGGTTCATGAGTTGATGGGTCGATCTGTAGGTTCTAGGTGTGAGAGCTGCCTCCCTGGCGTCGGTAGCACTGATACTCAATACGCCAATCTGAAACAAATTTTACATTGCTATCCGTATGCCTGTTAGTAAAAATAAAAACCGCACAAAGTGAGTTAGGCCATCACCAAAAGTAAGACAAGCCGACACCGGTGGTGTAGTGGTAAGCGTCTCTAGCCACGTTTTTCTTCGGAAGGGAAGTAAAGCCGTTGGTCCCGGCCCATGTGTGTTTGAATGGATGCGATATCCTACGCAGTTGTGGAAGCTGCCTTCCTGCACATTCGATTGCTGTCAATGGATGACAATGCATGTCCGTCGGTGATTGGTATTAGATTGCAGAACAGAGACCGAGCTTAAATAAAGGAATGAATAAAAGTAAGACAGGTGGTATTCATTTGAAACGCTAATAACTTTTCGGGGTTAACTCGGATTCACATCCGGTCTTGAACCAAGATGTTCCCAATACTTCTAAGGTTGTACACGAAGAAGTTCAAATTCAAATTCAAATGTTGGCAGGGTGTTTCTGACCCCACAAACTATCATTCGAGGGGGTAGAGTTTGAAAACCCAGACTTTGACTCTTTTTTTTCTTCACATAACGCTGAAACACTCTAGTTTGTACACTGAAGTCTTTTTTACACGGTTTTTTACGCGGTTTTTTAGCATGTTTTTTTACGATTTACACAGTACGTTTTTAACGATTTCTCGACAACGATACAACCTATCGACTTGATTCCAATCACATTATCCGTTTCAAGCTATAGGTAATCGAAAAAATCACAATTTTTGGTGTAAATACAGATTTTTTGTAAATGTCTGTATGGACCATAGCATGCTATAATTACAAATCCGGAGTGATTTGAGATTTGGGCGTAATTGCTTTTGTTAACAAACACGTCAATCACCGATTTCTCACGAATAAAAGCTAAATCTCGAAAACTAATAACGCTGTGAGGAAGCGGAATGATTCCTCTATAATTTTTTATAGTTTGTTTATGAGATTGAGCTATAATTCAAGAGAAATCGGCAATTGACGTCTTTGTTTACAAAAACAATTACGCCCAAATCTCAAATCGCTCCGGAAATAGCATCAAAATCTGATTTTTTTTTTAAATATTTAAGCACGTGAAAAATCAAAATTTTGTAGGTTGTTTTTACACGGTACATATCCCCCATGTAAAAAAAGTCCTGAGTGTAAACACAGTAAAAAATCAATTTTGATATCACGTCAAAGTGGATGCACTTCAATCGTGTCAAAAATATGGTGTAATATTACTTGCCAAAAAGAACAAAATTATCATTACGCTGACATTACGCTGCTTTTACTGCATTTGTTTAGTTTTGTGGCCATAAAAATGACATGATATTTTCGATATGATTGAGGTACATCCTCTTGGATGTAATATTAAAATTTATTTATTGCGGTATAGGAATTTCAAGATTTAATTATAAAGTGCCCGATGTATTATTTTTTTTTCCTTGGATTTGTTTTCCGTCAATATTGTTTTCCGTGCTGAGCACCAATGCTACCGACGCCAGGAAGGCAGCTCCCACACCTGAACCCTACCTATCGACCCATCAACTCATGAACCGGGGACCAACGTGTTTACTTCCCTTCCGAAGGAAGGCGTGATCAGAGATGTTATGCCTCAGAACATCCTGGCGGTGCCGACTGGGCTTGAACCCACGCTTACCACTCACCACCGGCGCCGCTGGATATATTCCCGTATAAAAAAGAACCATAGAGACACGATGAAATGTATTGTAACCATACAATAGAATTTATTGTATTTACAATAAATCATATTGTCTACAACGATAAAATCACCATATAATGTATTGTTTTCACTATATAATCTATGGTAAATGGGTAAATCTACAATAGAACAAGGGGGTTGTTATGTATCTTAACCATAGGAAAAATCACTTTTTCCCGAACAAAGATGAGCCATTTACCACTAATTTTTTTGTTGTTCTATTGTTGAAAGTTCTTACTACATGGGACGTATTGTAAATCTATTGTAATAACAATATGATACAATTTCTTGCACAATATACTTACAATAAGATCGATTGTTGGCAATAGATTTTGATGTAATTGTATTTTATTTTATGGTAATTGTATTGTTATTTTTTTCCGGGTTAAGATGTCCGACATTTGAAGGCGTAGTAAAGAACGGTATGTAAAATCTGACAATTTTGATACAATTGTAAAAAAAAAACAAGTAGTTAGAAACTTTAAGCTAATCTGCCACGATAGGCAACATATTAACCCTCTCTTTCCACAGGTGATCCACAATTTTTCGGTCCACCTCATGTTTGTCAACCCACCATTAAATTCAGTACTTATTGAAGCTTTTCAGTGTGCTCATTTTGACCGTCTATATGTGTTCTTGAGAGTTCAATTGACCAACCATTGAATAACAATCAAAATGCCGTTGATTTTAAACAAACTTTGTTTCTACGGTTTCGATAATTTTAGGATGTGTGGAACATCTTTTGTCTCTCAGAATACACTAAACAATTACAGTAGTGCTACGCTTGAACACCGAAGAGATAGTTTTTTTTTTAAAGTTATTATCCTTTGTATTTCATATCTAAACGGCAGGTAGCGAGATTTGGTCTGTCTCATAGTAGGTATGCATGGGGAAGCAGGAGAGTAGCTAGTAGCTCTCATCAATAGATAGCAAAAAAAAAGATTTTATCCTGGGTTGGTTGGAAGTCCCATCCAGTTTTCGATTTTCAGAGTTGGTTGAAAATGCTATGTAACATGAAGCCTTATGTGATAATTTATTAGCTAGAGAAAGGTCTAAAGGGGGTAAGTAGATAGTTCCGCTAGAGTACGGCAGTATCAAAATTGAATAGAAGTTGATACTGAGCGAAGTGCCATTAATGTGACAGTACTAGCGTTTGACTAGTATTGTCGCATTAATGGCCCTACGCTCATTTTCAACTTCTATTCAATTTTCATACTGCCGTACTCTAGCAAAACTACCTAACCCTCATCATACCTTTCTTTAGTTAATAAATTATCACACTAAAGCTTCATGTTAGATAGCATTTTCAACCAACTCTGAAAATCTCAAACTTCACGTATGAAGAAACATAAAAACACTTTAAATGATTTTATCCAATTCTGATCCAGACAATCGCTTTCGCTGTTTCTTCATATGTTGACCAACTTCAGTGAATAAATGTTCAGGTGGAACGGATTATACAGAAATCGTCAGGGAATTACGCAATCGGGTACGTATAGTTTCCCATACGGTGGTTCTAGGCATCAAAGGCGTATTCAGGTATTCTCTCAATCCCACTGGAATTCCAACAGCATTGTCTTGAACGAGATATTAATTTACATCTAAAGCCATGTGGCCGTGAATTGATTTATTCTTGGTGTCCAATATTGACCGGTACCGGTTGTTGAGCTAACTACTTTGATAAGTTCACATGTTAGGAACTGCTTGTTATTGCAATTCGACCTTTTTGAAATATTTTGAAATAATAAACATAATTTTCATCTACACTAAGATATTCAGGAGATTAGAGTTCCATAGCATAGCCTGTATAGTGTGTGAAAATATAAATATTATAACGCCTTAAGAGACGAACCAGCCCAAGGCTGAAAGTTTCTCTAATAAACCTAAAAAATGATTATAACGCTTGAAATTTGAAACAAGTTGAAAATTTTAAAATATGATTTCTAGGTAAAAGTGATGACAGGAATTATGTTCATGCAAGTGACGTATTTTTAGCTGGCATTTCGTTAACTTCTCCAATAGCTTAAGTGTCTTACAAACTTCTTTTAGAATGAAAAATTAATCAGCTGA